GAGAGAGAGAGAGAGAGAGAGAGAGAGAGAGAGAGAGAGAGAGAGAGAGAGAGAGAGAGAGAGAGAGAGAGAGAGAGAGAGAGAGGTTTCCATCCTTGGTTGGCTGCCCCATCCTCCCACATCTCGTAGATTAGGTCTTGCATCACGTAGTGGTGCATGCATGTTAGGGTCTTGTTTGAATTGGCCATGTCATCCTGTTTAACCGTCTATCTCAACAAAGTTGAACAAACGGTGTTGGTCTTTTAACTTTTTGAAGTCGATAATAAAACAAGACGCCAAATTTCAGAAGTGACAGGCTCAGCATGGTGAAAGTGGCTTGCCCGTCCTAGTGAAAATCCCTTTATTATTTTTTCAGCATAAAAACTGAAGATGTTTTAGTACGTAAGTCAACACCTCGAGAATGAATACGAGTTTTACGGTAGCTTCCGGTTTCTTTGAAGTCTTTGCCCCTCTCACAGAGTCGGACAGAAGGATGGCAATAGTTCCATTTTTTTTTATTTGTTTCTTTTGTACCGTTTAACCTGACTCTGGGAGGGAGCCTTCTTGAGTTGTTCCGCGTCTATGAGAGACGGTTAAATAGTTGGCTCAGGGCTTTTTCACAGATCTTATGTGTTTTGAGTTTTGTCTTTGTACGCCATGTTGAAAAAGGTCTCACTTTCACTGAAAAGATGTTGATTTCTTGCCTTTACTGTCTCAAACTTTATCAATACACGGTATAAGCACACTCAGAACTTGTTTAAAATTTGAAATGATGCACAGAGGTTTTCAAGCTTGTGGCTATGGCCACACACAACAACAATGACAAAGCAAGTAAGTCTCTCTCTCTCTCTCTCTCTCTCTCTCTCTCTCTCTCTCTCTCTCTCTCTCTCTCTCTCTCTCTCTCTCTCTCTCTCTCTCTCTCCCCACTGCTGCGACTACACAAGTCTTGCGATCTCTCTCTGAATGTCGTTGCTGCTCTCCCTCTTTGCCACCTCGCTCTACAATAGCTATCTCGCCCAGCGCCATGTACCACTTCCTTGTCAGACACTGTTCACGCTTTCAAGATCTTGGCACACAATTATGCAGCAGCGCTTCTGCATAAGCCACATCCGAAGAAGAGGAGGTTCCTGGCGATGGCCTCCCTTTTGTCCATATCCCTCTTCCTCCCACGTGGATCCTGAAAGTTCTTGTCAGGTCCTGCTGCGTTCAACAAAGAATCAGACTGTCATGGGCCCTTCCTGGGACTGAGCTTCAACTGGACTGGGACCAGAACATGTGGTGACTCCCTACCTACTCCACTAGGGACTTTGAGGGTTCCTACCGGCCTCATCTGCTGAAATGAGTCAAATCTCTATTTTGGCATGTAGAGTACCCACTACAACGTTCCACTGCAGCCCTGAGGTACAAAAGGGAAATGGGCATCGGACAGGGGCTGTACTGTCGCAGTGCGTGAATCCTTCAATGACTGGGCCTGTTGCTAAATCGGCTCATTAAAAATTTCCGTATTCTTGATTTTCTTGAGAAGTCTCCCATGGTTTGTGTGGGCCTGATTTTGCATGTTGTGTGTGTTTGTGTGTGCGCACATGCATCAGGATTCTGATGTATCTATACGTAGGCGTGCGCTCGAGCTGGTCTATGCGTTGGTGAATGAGCACAATGTGAAGACATTGACAAAGGAGCTGCTGGAGTATCTGAAAGTGAGCGATTTGGAATTCAAGTCGGATCTGACATCTAAAATATCTTCCCTGGTCCAGAGGTAAGTCCTTTCTGTCGCCGACCCGCAATCACTTTGTTCCATTCCACTCAGCAGCCTCTTGATCTGGTCTTAGGGGTTGCTTTTCACAGTATTAACACACATGCATGGCATGGACGTTTTGTTTTCGATGTGTTCTTTCTTGTTTTCTATTTCCATATAGTCTTGTTTGGGACATTTGTTTACTTTGTTGTCACAGATGAAGACGTGGGCAGATTTCTGTTATGGTTGAGGTGGTCGGTAGGTGTTTTATATCGTGTTTTGTAATGAATATCTAAAGTCCCCCGTATCATGTTTCGTAATGAATATGAAAACTGCCCATATCATGTTCCTTAAAGAAAATCGTTTATCAAGTTTTATGCCATGGCCTCTTCGCAAAAGAGGCTGAGCGAATGTTTTCAGAGAAAGTTTGCTGTAGGCGAGATTCCCCTGGGTTCTCTGTCCCGAAACGAATGCTTTGAGTGGAACCACGGTGTTGTAAGCTCTGGCACTCCTGGTCTGTAGGGAGTGTCATGACACATCTGTGGTTCTCCTAACTGGTGTCACGGGCAGGTAGTTGTACTCACGGCATACGCGCGGGGCTCAAAATGGCAGAATCACAAAATCAGTGGCCAGATTGAGTCTATATGATGGTTCATTTTGCAATTCGGTGATTTTGAGGGCCTACTGCCAGTATACCTCAGATTAGAGATGCAAGTGAAGCAGAGCTGGGCACCGGGCGCCCAGAGCCGCACCCACCTGCACCCACCCAACCCACAGGGTGATGGGTCGGATTTAGGTCTACATGAGCCGTCTTGGGTGGGTTATGGGCGGGCGCAGCCAGCATGCCTTTCTGGGTGACGGGCGGGTTAAGATTTGGTCTGGGTCACCTGTTGGGTGGGTGGCAGGCGGGTGATGGCTTGGCCTGGGTCACCCAACCCATAGACCCAGGATGACCCGAAAATTATGCAATCCCAAACCTCCCCCCTCTCCCCCCCCCCCCCTCTCCTTGTGTAGTACGTCGGGCTTGAGGTTGTATAGTGTCTGATTCAGTTGACCAGGTCCCCTGATGAAGTAACGCCGTTGCGAACGCAGTGCAGCTGCCCCTGGGCAMAMAAAACAAATCTTGAAATATTTTCCTTTGAGAAGTTCGAGTCGCATTGTTGATGTTGTCGTTTTTTAATAATAGGATTTTAGATGTCTTTGTTGCAATGCTATGTTGCAAATGAAATCGTGATGGTGTAAGGGACTGTGTGGCATACTGCGTAGCCACACGGGCCCTGCAGGGCCCGTCCTGGACATTCAGCCTAAAAGCCTAAAACTTAGGGCTTACAGGCCCCGTTCATTTCAGCCTGGATGCTGAAAAACGAGGGCCTGCAGGCCCTACCCCGTTTCAGCCTATTTCTGGGTCTTTTCAGACCCAGAGTTTTCAGCCTGAAACGGAGGGCCATTTTCAGGCCCTCGTTGTTTCGACCTGCCCCTAAGACTCAGGCACGTAAACAGGGATGCGGAACAGGCCAGAAATAGCCTGTTCCTCACGAGCTTGAGCTGCAGCCCCTGCCTCCCTTCGGCAGGCTCAGGAGGCACACCCATAGTACATAGGAAGTTCCCATGCACTTCACGGGTAGGTAGTGGTCAGTAGGCACGGGTAGTCTTCAGGATTTCGGCCGCAGCACTCAGGAGGAGCGCTGCAGTAGTCTTCAGCGCTAGGCAGTAGGTATTAGCGCTAGCTGTAGTCATCCGTGCTGGGCGCCATAGCTGTAGCTGTAGTCTTCAGCGCTGGGCGCTGGTAGGTGGTAGATCGTAGAGTGGGAGAGAGAGGCTGGCGGAGGCCAGCGATACTTACCTGTGGCGCCATCGCTTCAGCTCCATCTTCGTGGTACCTGCATCAAGGCGCCAACTTCACAGGTTAGTACTGGACACAGAGAGAGAGAGAGTTCTTCTTCTTCCTCTTCTAAGTCCACCTTCTCTTCTCACCCTCTCGCCACCTGACTTCTCAGACTACGACAGAGAGAGACAGAGTTGTGACTTGAGACTTGACGACATTGGATCCAGACTTGACATTTGGGATTCAGACATTCCGACGAGGGAATATTTGGGCTTGTGCCGAAGACTTGGTGTTGACGACATTCCCATCTTCCCCCTCCTCTTCGTCTATCCCCTTCCTCTTCGTCTGTGTATGGTATGGGCTGGCGCAGTCTTCCTGTGTGAAGCGCCAGGCCCATTTCACACCATGTAACGATGATGATGATGTATGTTCAGGGCTGCATTACAACATTGATTGTTCGGATCACTGGTATCTAAGTCTTCCGTTGTGCTATCTTATACTTTGTATTGAAAGGTCAGTTCTTGTTCTGGTCTGCACGTTACAGTATGCAACAGACTGGCATGGGCAGGCGCGGGCTGAGGCGGGTGGGTGCGGGTGAAGAAAATTTAGGTGCTGGACGCAGGTGGGTGACGATACTCTTACGGGTACGGGCGGGTGTGGGAGAGGGTTTTTTTCGGGTGACGGGCGGATCGGGCGTGGGGCTGAAATTTCAGAAAATATTTTGGGTGGGTGGGGTTGTCTAAAAGTCAAAAATAAAATTTTTGGGCCAGGTGGATAGGGAAAAAAAAAATTTGGGCGGGTTGGGTCGAGGGTGAGGATAAAAAAAGTTTGCCCACCTCTGAAGTGAAGTTCCAATGGCTTAGTTGTGGCTCACGCTTGTGGCGTGCACGGGCCTCCCACACACGTCCCTTGGGGAAGGGGGGGAGCGCTTGCACCCACATCTTAGGCAGCTCTAGGGCCGTGGTTCTTTTTCCAGGTCTAGGTTCTGACTCAGGCAGTGTTTTTTCCCCCCCACCACCTTCCAAGGTCCCTTTCATTGCATCTGCCAGAAACCGTGCCCAGTGTCCCTTTATGGACAGGACGTCCTGAGACAGCGGCATTGAATGCTCCCTTTTTGGGAGGGTGTACAATTGCTCCCCTGTCCGTGTATCTTTCCACTCTGTGAGACTGTTCTGTGTCCCTCGCTCTACCCTCCTTTCTCCTTAGCTCCAGCAGGCAGTGTATTTTACTTTGTCTGTTTCAGACTGTTTGTGCATTTTTGTGAGTTTTGCTATATTCCTCCGATTTTGTCTGTTCCTGGTTTTGTCTGCTCTGGCTCAGGTTTTTGTCGGCTTTGTTTCGGATTTCTGAAGAGGAACAACAGGCTTAACTGCCCGTTCGGACCAGTGCTATGCTGGTTCACACGTTTTGGCCGTTTCCAGGGCTTGGATACTTTTGTCCGCATTAGTACTGGACCTTGATTTGTTCACTAGTGCCTGTTCCAGTCCTTGTTTGGTTCTGAATCAGCTGCTGATACAGCAGGAGGCCCCGGATGCCCAATTGGGACCCAGGCCGGCCACTTCTTTGGCCTGGTCCTTTGGATTAGGATTTTGCCATCCTCCTTGGGCCATTGGATTTGACCATCCTCCTGGGCCATCGGATCAGGTCTGGTTCAGTGGACCAGGTGGACTACCGGGTGACTCGGGGAAAGACCCACCATAATGTAGCTGGTCCGAGCCATCAGATCAGGACGCAGTGGTAGGAGACCCACTTGGTTAGATGCTGTTGACGAGTAGTGCTGTGCATTAGCACTGGAGGAGCGAGGATTGGCACAAAGGAGATAGCAGGTAAGCCCAGTGAGAGGGGAGGCTACAGAATCATCGATGTGGAGGACGACTTACCTGGGTGTCCTATCTCGAGGGCTGATACCTCTACGATCTTCTGCCGAGTGTGTGTGTGTGTGTGTGTGTGTGTGTGTGTGTGTGTGTGTGTGTGTGTGTGTGTGTG